TTTCCCATTCTCAGATGTAGAACATCCAGCTCCAGCTTGACCTCTTTCAACTCTCCTCAACTCTGACCCTGTAGGGGTGGGCATGCACCCTGTAACTTCTCATTCACAGGCCTCTGTGTTGGCTCTGGCAAGCTGGCTCAGGCCCAGCTACCTTTTACAGCTTCCAAGAGCCCACAGAATCCTCACACATCTGCGAAGTGTGTGAGCAGATTGACATTTTTGGCACCTTTGTCTAAAACTGAAGGGCGATATCTACATGGATTTATTTCTGGGTTCTCTGTTTTGTTCTATTGGTGGTATACTTATCTGGTTTTTGTTTGTTTGTTTGTTTGTTTGTTTTTTGCCAGTCCCATGCTGTTTTGGTTACTATGATTTTAGAATATATTTCAGAATCTAGTAGTATGGTACCTCTAGCTCCATTCTTTTTGCTTAAGATTGCTTTGGCTATTGGGGTCCTTTGCGATTCTATACAAATTTCATGATTGTTTTTCCTATTTCTGTGGAAAATGTCATTGGTATTTTGGCTGGTAAAGCATTGAACCTATATATTGCTTTTTATAGTATAGACATTTTAACCATATTGATTCTTCCAATCCATGAACATTGAATGTTTGTCTTTGTGTGTATGTGCGTGTGTCTTATTCTATTTCTTTCCTCAGTGATTTAAAGTGTTCATTATAGAAATCTTTTACCACCTTGGTTAGGTGTATTCCTAGGAATTTTATTTTCTTTGTAATTATTGTAAATAGGATTGCTTTTTACTTTCCTTTTCCAGCTCTTTCATTGTTGATATACAAAATTCCTACTGATTATTTTTTGTTTTGTTTTTTTGTTTTTGTTTTTTAGAGAGGTTTTTGCTATAGGGTGCATGTGCTCACCAGAGAGACAGAGACACAGAAAGTGAGAAATCACCCCCCAGGGGGATGGCCACACTACAATCCCTTCTCCTCCATTCTCCTCTTGGGATCTTGGGCATGCACGCACACACGCCCGGCGTGAGTTTAAGCCACTGGGTCCGGGACTCGAACCATGGTCAATTACATGGGAGTCCAGCGACATAGCCATTATGCTAATTGCTGGTCCCAATTCCTACTGATTTTTGTATGCTGATTTTGTATCCTGCAATTTTACTTATTTTGTTTATCAGTTCCAAGAGGTTTGTGTGTGTGTGTGTGTGTGTGTGTGTGTGTGAAATATTTAGGGTTTTCTATGTGTAAGAGCATATGGTCTGCAAATGGACAATTTAACCTCCTCTTTTCCAATCTGTATGCACTTTATTTCTTTCTCTTGCCTAACTGCTCTAGCTAGGCCTTCCATAACTATGCTAATGCTAAATAAGAGTGGTTGAAAGTAGACATTCTTGTTTTGTTTCAGTTCTTAGCAGGAAGGCTTTCAGTTTTTCCCATTCCGTATGTTAGCTATGGGTTTGTCATATATGACCTTTAATACATTGAGGTTCATTAATTTTATACCAATTTGTTGAGCATTTTTATCATAGAGGAATGTTGTGTTTTGTGGAATGCTTTTTCTGCATTCATTGAGGTAATCGTATAGTTTTGTCATTTGTTCTATTGCTATGCTCTATCACGTTTATGGATTTGTGTATGTTGAACCATTCTTGCCTCCCTAGGATAAAATCTTGGTTGTGGCGTATAATCTTAATTTACTGTTAGAGGTGATTTGTTATGATTTTGTTGAGGATTTTTTCATCCGTGCTATTAGGGTTACTTGTCTGTAGTATTTTTTGTTGTTCTGTTTTTGTTTGGTTTTGGTATCGGGATAATACTAGTCTCATAGAATGAATTAGGAGTGTTCCTTTCAGGACCAGCAGTTAGCGTAATGGCTATCTTGCTGGACTCCCATGTAATTGACCACGGTTCACATCCCGGACCCAGTGGCTCAAACTCACGCCTGGCGCATGTGCATGTGTGCCCAAGATCCCGAGAGGAGAATGAATGGAGGAGAAGGAATTGTGGCGTGGCCATCCCCCCTGGGGGGTGATTTCTCACTTTCTGTCTCTCTGTCTCTCTCTGTCTGTCTGGCAAGCACACGCGCCCTTATAGCAAAAACCTCTAAAAAAAAAAAAGTGTTCCCTTCCACTTTTTTTTTTAATCATTTTTTGGAATAGTAAAAGGAGCATTGATATAGCTCTTCTTTAAAAGTTTTATAGAATTCAGCAGTGAAATCGCCTGGTCCTGAGCTTTAGTTTTCTGGGAGGTTTGTTTTGTTTTGTTTTAGTACTAATTCAATCTAATTTGTTATTATTGGTCTATTTGTGTTGTCTTTTCCTTCCTGGCTCAGTCTTGATTGGTTCTCTATGTTCTGGGATTTGACTAGTTCCTCTAGATTTTTCAGTTTGTTGGTGTATAGTTATCCATAAAAGTCTCATTATCTTTTGAATTTCTATTGTATCAATTTAACACCTCTTTTTTCATTTCTAATTGTATTTATTTGAGTGTCCTGTCTTTTTTGTCAGTCAAGCTAATGGTTTGACAACTTTCTACTTCATTTATACTTTGTATTTTTTTTGGAAGGTGGGTTTCAAGTTGGTTTATTTCTTCTCTGTCTTTATTATTTCTCCTACTAATTTTGAGATTAGCTCATTGTTGTTTTTCTAGTTCCCTGAAGTGAGTCATTAGATTATTGAGTACTTTATTTTCTTTCCTCTTTTATCTTTCTTTTTTTAAAGAAAGCACTTAGAGCTCTAAAATTCTCTTAGAGCCCTGTGCTAAGCTGGCGCCAAGGTGCTCGGTTCTTCCGAGGAAGCTAAGGCCGTGTTGGGGTGAGGCCCTCACTTCATCGGGTGACTAGTACCATGTCCAGCAGCTCCCGCTGCACGCCCGGCCTCATCACGGCCCTTGTTTCCAAGCTCGGCTGCATCTACTAAGCCCTCATTCTGCACGGCGGTGAGTTGACCCGCACGGAGGATAAGATCAATGACCTCATTAAAGCAGCTGGTGTAAATGTGGAACCTCTTTGGCCTCGCTTGTTTGCGAAGGCCCTGGCCAACGTCAACATCAGGAGCCTCGTCTGCAACGTAGGAACAGGCGGTCCTACACCAGCAGCTGGTGCAGCACCTGCGGAGGGTCCAGCCCCCACTGCTGCTGCCACCCCCGCTGAAGAGAAGAAAGTAGAAGCAAAGAAAGAAGAATCTGAAGAATCGGATGATGACATGGGCTTTGGTCTTTTTGACTAAATCTCTTCTGTAACATGTTCAATAAAAAGCTGAACTCTTAGAATAAATAAATTTCTCTTACAGCTACTTTTGGTGTATCCCCTAGGATTTGGTATGTTGTGTTTTCATTTTCATTTGTTTCCAGACATTTAAAATTTTCTATCTAGATTTCTTCTTTAGCCCAGCCGTCAATCAGATTATTTAGTTTCCACATAGTTGTATGTTTTCCAATGTTCTTTTGTTACTGATTTTTAGTTTTATTCCATCGTGGTCAGCAAAAATACTTGATGTAATTTATATAGAAAACATTTTTTTAAGGTCTGTTGTGTGCCTTAACATGTGGTCTGTCACCAATATGGTGATGGAAGGACTGTGCGTTCTGGAGTTGTTGGATGGGATAATCTGTGTCTGTTAAGTCCATTTGGTCGATGTGTGATGTTTCTTTGTTGATTTTCTGTCTAGATGGTTTGTCCAGTGCTAAGAGGGTGACCTTGCAGTTTCCAACTGTTATTGTATTAGATTTTCTCTCTCCCTTTCGCTCTAGTAAAAATCGTTTTGTGTATTTAGGTGCTCCAGTGTTTGGTGCACATGTATTCACAACTGTTATATCTTCTTGCTGGATTGTTCCTTTTATCATTATCATTCTTTTTTTTAAAAAAAAAAAAAAACATATTTTCTTTGCTCACGATGGGGCACATGCATGTGCCAGAGACAGAGAGAAAGAAAGAGACAGAGGGAGAGAGAGAGATGAGCACCGTCCACAGGGCTTGGTCTTTGTCCTCCAGTTCTCCAGCCTTTTGGTCTTGTATAGCATACTTCAGGCTGACCAGGCCGGGGATTTGAACTGCAGTTGCCACATAGGATCCAAGTTCTCTTGAGCAGCACATTACCAACTGCACCATAGAACTGGCCCATACACAATGACCTTCTTTGTCTTGTTTTGCAGTTTGTGAATTAAAGTTTATTTTATCAGTAGCATTACACATCTACTTGCTTTTGCACGGAACATCTTTTTCCATCATTCAGCTCATGTGTGTCTACATAGGTAAAGTGACTTTCTTGTAGGCAGCGCATAGATGGGTTTTGTGTTCTTATTCATTCAGCCAGTCTATATCTTCTCAATGAGAAGTTTAGTCCATTTACATTTAGGGTTATTATAAACAGATTAGAATTTAATTCTGTCATTTTTTAAGGAGTATTCTGGTTTGTGTGTGTGTGTGTGTTCTTTCTTATTTAATTTTTCCTGTCATTGTCTATGACTGTGGCTTGGTAATTTGTTGTGGTAATAGGGTTTAATTCTTCCATATTTTTCAGTTGTGTTTCTAACCTACCTGTGAAGTTTTGTTGTTGTTAGGTTTTGTCACAGAGCATGTACACTCACCAAAAAGAAACAGAGGGTTAGGAGGACGATGAAATCACCCCCACAGGGGAGATGGCCATGCTGCAATCTCTTCTTGGAATTTTGGGCATGCACACACATATACCCAGCATGAGTTCAAGCCTTCAGGTCTGTCTGGGATTTGAACCACAGTCAGCCATGTGGGAGTCTAGCACTTTCACCACCATGCCACCTGCTGGGCCCATATTTTTATGCTCTTTAATGTTGGCAGTTATTGCCTTTTTATTTTCAAATGTAGGATTTCTTTAAAGATTTATAAAAAAAAAATAAAGATTTCTTATAAGGCCAGTTTAGTGACAACTTTTGCTTATTTAAGAAAGACTATATTTTTTCTTTTATTCTGAAGAATAGGTTTCTGGATACAATAGTTTTGGTTGGCAGTTTTGTTGTGTTTTTTTTTGTTGTTGTTGTTGTTTGTTTGTTTGTTTTTAGTATTTTGAATGTATTCTGTTCTCTCCAGGACTGCATGGTTTCTGCTGAAAAAAAAATCAGCAGTTAGTCTGATAAATTTTTCATTATATGTTACCTGTTATTTTTCTTGCTTCTTTCTTTTCTTCTTTTTTTTTTTTTTCTTGTTGTTGTTGGCTATAATGCACAACTCACCAGGGAGAGACACAGAAAGAGAGAGAGAGGGAAAGTGAGAAATCACCCTCTAGGGAGGATGGCCATGCCACAATCCCTTCTCCTCCACTTTCCTCTCAGTATTTTGGACAGACATGCACACACACACATCTGGTATGTTTTTCAAGCCACTGAGTTCAGGACTTGAACTTCTCAGTCAGCCATGTGGGATCTAGCCCCCTTAAACACCATGCCACAGGCTGGCCCCTCTTTCTACTTTCAAAACTCTCTTTGACTTTTGAGATTTTAATGATAGCATTCCTCAGTGATGACTTATTAGGTTATTTTAAAACTCCTTCTAACTAGATGTTCCTATCTCTTCCAATACTTGGGAAGTTTTCAGCTATTATTCTTTTGAATATATTTTCAGGCCCTATCTCTGTCTCTTCTCCTTCTATTATGGAACTCCCATGATGTAAATAACTGCTCTTTATAGTATCCCATAAATCCTGCAGGCTATCTAAATTCTTTTTTATTCATTTTTTCCCTGACTGGATGATCTCCAAAAACTTGTCTTCCAGGCCTGACACACTTTCTTCCATTTGTCCTAGTGTGCTGTGGAAGATCTCTATCTTATTTTTAATTTCATTGAGTGTTTCAGTTTAACAATTTCTGCTTTCTTCTCCTACTTCTCTTCCTCCTCTTACTTCAGTCAAGCAGTTGCTCTGCTGTCAAAGGGCACAGCTCTGCTCCTCAGAGCAGTGCTCCCGCTGCACTGGTGCATCCGAGCTCCGGAGTATACATTGCTGGCAAGCTTGGGAGCTGGGGTCATGACCCTACTGCTCAGTCTAGCTGTGGTGGTTTCTGCAGCCATCCGTACATGCTTAGTGGGATTTGGGTACATTCTTGGGGATTTGAAGACATGCTGGTCATTGGTCCTTTGTGCAGATTTTATTCTAGTAGTTGCTTTATTCTTGAAATGGCACTACTCTGCAACAGCTTGGTCCAGAGGGTTGATGTCAACCAGGGCAAGGGCCTTCCCTGGAGTTATTTCAGCCCTGTGGATCTCAGAAACAGTCCCTCCCATTCTAGCCCAGGGCCATACATGGTGCTAAACTCCCAGGCAGTTAGGAACGCCATCTGTGGTGGAGTTAGAGGCTGTTCCGGATCTCTCACTCACCCTTTCCCAACAAAGCGAATTTTCCACCAGTTCCAGTCTGCTATCTCAGCCAGCTGCGTGCTTCGGTTCCCGTTCTGTGCTGTTTCTCTTGAGTTTTCGTGTAACAGAAAACTTCAGATCTTTTCTTGGTGGTTTCCAGTATTTTTCCTTAGAAAATTCTAGTGAAAATACGTCTGTGAAATTACTACCCTATGTCTTCATTGGGAGGAGACGAGTTCTGGGTACTTCCTGTCAGCCATCTTGACCCAATCTCTCAAATCTGTTTTCATTTAAAATAATTTCTGATAGGGAAGGACAAACTATTGCCATTTTGTTGTTTTCTGGATGTCTTATTGTTGTTTATTTTTCCTTCATTCTCCCTTCCTGCCTTCCATTGTGTTTAGTGGATTTTTTAAATAACATGTCTTGATTACAATCTCATTTTCTTTTATGTATATTCTATAGATATTTTCATAATTATCATGAAGATTACACATTATCTCCTGAAGCTATAATTATGTATTTTACACTGAATAATTTAACTGCAATCGTATAAAAATTTCTAGCCCTTTATAGTTTTTTTTCATGTATTGATGTCACAAATCGTATATTTATGTATTGTTATCTGTTAACATAGATTTATAGTTTTTATGCTTTTAAATTCTGTAAAAATAAAACATGGAAATATAAGCCCAAATGACAATAATACTGTTTTTTATACTTGTCTATATATTTTCTTTTACTGGAAAAATCTTTTCATGGTTTTAAGTTAATGTATGGTATCTTTTCATTTCAACTTAAAGAATTCCCTTTCATATTTATGTTTTGTAGGTCAACTGTAAGCATGCACACTTGTCGGAGAGACAGAGAGAGCTAGACGGAAAGAGAGAAATCACCCCTCAGTGGGGATGGCCATGCCACAATCCCTTCTCCTCCATCCTCCTCTGGAGATTTTGGGCATAAACGCACATGTGCCTGGCATGAATTTGAAGCCAATGGACCTGGAACTCGAACTACAATCAACCGTGTGGGAGTCCAGCAACGTAACCATTATGCCATCTACTGGCCCTCTCAGCTTTTTATTATCTGGGAATGTCTTAATTTCTCTCACTTTTGAAAAAAACCAGGTTTTCTGGATATAGAATTCTTGATTGATGGCTGTTTTCAGCATTTTAAATAGATGTTACCCCACTGCCCTCTAACCTGTAAGCCATCTGTTGAGAAACCTCCTGAGAGGGAACCAGCAGTTGGTGTAATGGCTATGTCACTGGACTCCCATGTAGTCGAACGTGGTTCGCGTCCTGGACCCGGTGGCTTAAAACTCATGCCGGGCGCGTGTGCGTGCGTTCCCAAGATCCCGAGAGGAGAATGGAGGAGAAGGGATTGCGGCATGACCATCCCCTCTGGGGGGTGATTTCTCGCTTTCTGTCTCTATGTCTCTCTCTGTCTGGCAAGCGCATGCGCCCTATAGCGAAAAAACCTCTCCAAAAAAAGAAAAAAAGAAAAGAAACCTCCTGAGAATCTTATTTTGAGTCTCTTATACATGACAAATCCCTTTTCTCTTGCAGCTTTCAAAATTTTTTCCTTGGGAACCAGCAGTTGGTGTAATGGCTATGTCGCTGGACTCCCACGTAGTCGACCACGGTTCGCGTCCCGGACCCGGTGGCTTAAAATTCACGCCGGGCGCGTGTGCGTGCGTGCCCAAGATCCCGAGAGGAGAATGGAGGAGAAGGGATTGCGGCGTGACCATCCCCCCTGGGGGGTGATTTCTCGCTTTCTGTCTCTATGTCTCTCTCTGTCTGTCTGGCGAGCGCACGCGCCCTATAGTGAAAACCTCTCAAAAAAAAAAATTTTTTTTTTCCTTGTTTGACTTTTAACAGTTTGATTATAATAGGCTTTTCTTACCTGGAGTTCATTTATCAATAGCTTCTTGTATTTGAATACCCATGTGTTTTTCTCAAATTTGAAGTTTTTAGTCATTAGTTTTCAAATAACTGTCTTTCCATGTCTCTCTCTGTGACTTCAATAATGTGTATATTGGTTTGCTTGATGATGTTTCATAAATCCCTTAGATTCTGTTCATTTTTCTTTATTATTTTTTCCTTTTTCTTCTCAAACTTTGTAATTTCAAATGACCTATCTTCAAGTTTGTGGATTCCTTCTTCTGTCTAGTTAAAATCTGTTTAAGGGGCTGGCAGGTGGAATGGTGATTAAGGGCACTGGACTCCCACATGGCTGACAAAGGTTCAAGTCCCAGACCCAGTGGCTTGCTTTCTCACTTTCCCCCCCTCTCTTTCTCTCTCTCCCTTGCTCTCTTGCTCTATCCCTCTCTGGTTGAACTAAAACAAATAAATAAAGGAATAAAGTTGAATAAAATATTTTTTAAAAAATAGTCTGTTTAACCTCTGCTAGTAAATATTTCTATTCAGTCATGATATTTTTCAGTCTCAGAACTTGTGGTTTGTTTTTTTATATATATTTTTTCCAACCCTTTTTTTAGTATTCTTATTATGGTCTTTATTATTTTCCTGATTTCCCTTCCTTTAACACTTTAAACATATTTAAGATAGTTGTTTAAAACTAGGTCCAGCAGATATCATGGCGGTTAAGGAGTTGGATTGCCATAGGACCAACCACGGTTCAAGTCCCTGAACTGGTGGCTTGAATCTCATGCTGGGATTGCCACATGACCAATTACGGTTTGAATCCCTGAATGGTGGCTTGAATCTCATGCTGGGCACGTTTGTGTGCGTGCCCAGAATCCTGAGTGAAGAAAAGAGAAGGGATCGAGGCATGGCCATCCCCAGGGACTGATTTATCACTTCGTCTCTCTCTTTCTCCAGGAAGCACATGCACCCTGTGGCAAAAACCTGAAAAATAAAAAAGCATCTTTGTCTAGAAAATTTGCAGCCTGTGTTTCTTCAGAGTCAGTTCCTGGACATTTACTTGTTTTCCTTTAATGGGTCATGCCGTTCTGTCTTATCACACACATTGCAATAATTTTTTGAAAATCTGGCATTAGAAGAAAGAGCCACTTCTCCAAATTTCTGCAAACTGACCCCCTACAGAGAAAGCCCTTAACTAATGAACCAGGCATAAAGACTTAGGTGTTCTCAAGAATTTTCCAAGTGTGTGTGTTTTTGGGGCCTGTATGTTCCCCCACCCCCATTCTCTTGTCTCTATGGCTACTTTTCTTTTTTCATTTAAAAAATATTTTTGTTGTTATTTTAATTTATTTTATATATTCAATCATTGTACATCATTACATCTTTTTTTTTTTTTTCGAGAGGTTTTCGCTATAGGGCACGTGCGCTCGCCAGACAGACAGAGAGAGACATAGAGACAGAAAGCGAGAAATCACCCCCCAGAGGGGCTAGTCACACCACAATCCCTTCTCCTCCATTCTCCTCTCGGGATCTTGGGCACACACGCACATGCACCCGGCGTGAGTTTTAAGTCACCGGGTCCGGGATGCGAACTGTGGTCGACTACGTAGGAGTCCAGCAACATAGCCATTACGCTAACTGCTGGTTCCCCATCATTACATCTTATAAAATGAATCTACCCAACATGAATACACTTCACACCAGCCCAGTTGAAGATATCACACAATTGTCATCAACAAACAATCCTCCATGTCTGTGTGCCTTAAATGTCTTGCCTCTCAATTTTTCTCCTTGATTTCTTCCATCTCAGTCTCTCCCATCACCCCCCCTCTTTCCACACTGACTCTAGTATCTGTAACTATTTTCCATG